TAAAGTCTTTAAAAAAAAAAAAACAGTAGCCAGAGGACAAGACCAGTTATAGAATAAGAATTGGCTGAGAAGAGTGAGCAAAAAAGGCTGGAGCTTTTAGGGTAACCAGGGTGTAGGAGCTCACAAAACAACTTGGTTTTCATTAGAAGGACATCAGTAGTACTTCAGATCTATACTATTTGGTCTTCTTGCCAGCATGCATTAAAATAATGTAAACAAACTACTTGAAGAAATTCTTCTGGCTGACATAAGGTATGTTTGCTTTGAATAGAGCAGAATGACTTGGCATGACACCTTTGCAGAATAGTGAGGAAGGGAGCATGTCCTTGCAGACTGCCAGAGTTCAAACCTCAGCTCCACTGCTTTCTGGCCTGTGACCCTAGACAAATTACTTAAACTTTGGCTCCCATAGTGCCTTGGTTTCAAAATGGAGATAATACTTATATTATTCAGTTTTTGTAAGGATTAACTGAGTTAATTCATGTAAATCTTGAGTTTGTGCTTTTAAAGCTGCTAGAACCATTCAGCATGCTGTGAGAACTTGGTGTTAGCAGTTGTTACTAATATTACATGCTGATGGCCTCAAACCATACTGTGGTATGAGTAGCCATCATCTTACTCATATTTGGTGTGGTATATTTGTTGCAAGAGGACACTATGAATTGTTTTTTGATATTATTTATATTTATTTGAATTTGCTTTATAGCTTAACATTGATGCCAAAAAGAAAATTAAAACCAAGCTCCCTGCAGGTTAATTTAAGTGATTATTTTGGCACCTAGTTGTGCTTGAAGTTAGAATTTGATGCTTTTATGTCATACTTGGACTCAGTCCACATACCCTATTAGATTTGTGATTTATTCTCATGCAAGAGAATTCACCTAAATCCTGAGACTTAATTCCTTAGATTTGCAAAGGTCTTGAGGATGTTGTTGATAGTGAGGTCTGAAGACAGTTCTGTTTAAAATGAATTTTTGTTGTGATTATTAACATATAGAGAGTCAAGATTAATTTGTATTTCTGAAAATTTCACTTGTATATTTATAGTCTAGTATCCAATGCAAGGAGAAAAATTATATCAAGGGTTATGAATTCTGCACTCTGAAAGAATCTTTAGGGATCATCTGATCTATCTCCCTTCATAGCATCCCTGGGAAAAATGTAGCAAAGAGAGTTAAGTAACTTGGCCAAAGTTACAGATCTAAAGAGCCAGCAGATGGGTGAGGACTGAACTCTAGTCTGCTGTTTCTAGTCCCAACCTGTCTGATACATGCTTATTATCATCCAGCTTCTTTTTGGTAGCTTTGTCAAGCTTAGTTCCAAGAGCTTATCCATAGGAATGTGATGGCCTTGAAACATTTTTAAAATAAATTCTATGAGGAGATAAATTCTGAATGTTTATTCATATTTCATTTTCATAAGTGGCAAATGACCAGTGATCTAGTATTTCTGTATATAAGGAGATAGGACTGAAAGGACTTTTCTTTGAGTTTCTCTTTTTTATTTATTTATTTTTAAAAATTTTTTTAAAAAGATTTTATTCATTCATGAGAGAAACACACACAGAGAGAGAGAGAGGCAGAGACACAGGCAGAGGGAGAAGCAGGCTCCATGCAAGGAGCCCGACATGGGACTCGTTTCGGGGTCCCCAGGATCACACCCTGGGCTCCAGGTGACGCAGTGCTTTAGCGCTAAATCCCTGCGCAACCGGGGCTGCCCGAGTTTCTCTTTTTTAAATAGAAAAACTTAAAGCCAAATTTTTATTCAGACTAAAAGGTAAGAAATCATACTTCTTAGTAGAGGAAAATGACAATTCATTTTTTCATTTTTATTTGTAGTTTAGGTTAATTAGGAACCTTTTAAAATTGAGTGTACTGAAGCTTTCATGTACGTATAAGTTGGTTGAATAGTTTTAATTAAAACCTACCTCTATTTTGAGATTAATTACTTTCAACACTCTAAGATTAATGAGGCCTAGTCATGGTACCTCACATGTTGTGGATACTCAATAAATACTGGTTTGGAAATTAAGAAATACTTTGGTATTTTAGAATCTCACATGTATTATAATTTATAGTCTTAGATTCTTTCCGAAATTTGAGGACTCTCAACTATATCAAATGTTCAACCTAAAAATATTTTTCCTTCTACATAATTTTTTAAAACTTTTTATTTGGATGTCTGGGTGGCTCAGTGATTGTCTGCCTTCCACTCAAGTCCTGCATTGGGCTCACTGTGGGGAGCCTGCTTCTCTCTTTGCCTATGTCTCTGCCTCTCTCTGTGTCTCTGGTGAATAAATAAATAAAATCTTTAAAAAATAAAACTTTTTATTGGACATAGTTTCAAATTTACAAAAAGTTACAAAAGAAAAAGTAAACACCTGTGTGTGTATACAACTTGAGCTTAAGTTATATACGTTCTACTCCTTTTCCTAATACTTCAGTGTGTGTTTCCCAAGAATAAAATATTCTACAGAAACACATTACGATTACTAATAAACTCATAAATGTACATTGATGGAATATTTTTATCTATTCTATCATCTATGTTCCAATTTTGTGAAGTACTCTAATAAAACTGTTTATAGCCATTTTGCCCTCCAATATAGGGTTCAGGGTCAGGTATTGCCCCTAGTTGTCCTTTTAGCCTCCTTTTGAATTTGGAGTATTTCCATAGCCCTTTTTTTTTTTTAATGACATTGGCATGTTTAAAGGATACAGTATTCCTTGAGTTTGTAAGCTATTTCCTCATAATTAGGTTGAGGTGATGCATTCTTAGTATCTAGAGGTGATAGTATCTAGAGGCACTTGATGGCCATCTGCCCCATTGATGATGTTAATTTTGATCACTCAGGCAAGGTGTTGTCTGGTTTCTCCACCATACAGATCCTGAGTTTTTTTCCTCCCTTGTAGCTAATAAGCCATTTGTGAGAAGACACTTTAAGATGAAATTTCCTTTAGATTTGGTAAAAGTTAGATAACAAATTAGGTTAATTTGTTTTTGTTTGCTTTCTATTATAGCTTCCTCTCCATTCCCATTCTTATTGTTTTAATTTTTTATAGTATGTAGAGTTTTAACACGCTTTAAAAATCAAAACTATATTGAAGTTATTTATTTCCCATAATGTTTTAGATTCCTACCTCCTTTTTTATAAAGGAAAAGATATGTAACTAGAAAAGAATTATACCTATGTTGTTTTGTTCAGTTTATACCTGTGGTGTTTTGTTGTTGTTATTTAAAATAAATTGTATTTATTGACCTTTCTCCAAAGAAGACATACAAATGACCAACAGACATATAAAAGTTGCTCAACATAAACTAATCATTGGGGAAATCAAAACCATAATGAGACATCACCTTACACCTATCAGAATGGCTAAAATAAAAAACTCAAGAAACAAGTGTTGGCAAGGATGTGGAGTAAAAGAAACACTCCTGTATTGGTGGGAATGAAAACTGGTGCAGCCACTGTAGAAGACAGTATGGAGGTTCCTCAAAAAATTAAAAATAGAATTACCCATGATCCACTAATCACACTATGAAAATACTAATTCAAAAGGATATATGCACCCTTGTGTTTACTGTAGCATTATTTACAGTAGCCAACTATGGAAGCAGCCCAAGTGTCCATCCAAAGATGAATGGCTAAAGAAGATGTGGTATATATATTCCACGTGTGTGTGTGTGTGTGTGTGTGTGTGTGTGTGTATAGTATTAGTCATATAAAAGAATACACAGTTTTGCCATTTGCCACCACATGGTTAGAGCTATAGTGTATAAATGCTAGGCAAAATAAGTCAGTCAAGAAAGATAGATACTGTACAATTTCATTCATGTGTGGAATTTAAGAAGCAAAACAAAGGGATAAAAAGGAGAAGCATGGGATCCCTGGGTGGCGCAGTGGTTTGGTGCCTGCCTTTGGCCCAGGGCGCGATCCTGGAGACCCGGGATCGAATCCCACGTCGGGCTCCCCGTGCATGGAGCCTGCTTCTCCCCCTGCCTGTGTCTTTGCCTCTCTCTCTCTCTCTCTCTCTCTCTCTCTCTCTCTGTATGACTATCATAAATAAATTAATTAATTAATTAATTAATTAAAAAAAAAAAGGAGAAGCAAACCAACAGACTCTTAACTATAGAGAATAAATAGATGGTTACCAGAGGGCAGGTGGATGAGGGGATGGTTGAAATAGGTGAAGGGGATTGAGTACACTTGATGAGCATAGAGTAATATATGGAACTGATGAATCACTACATTGTGCACTATATATTAAATACAATGAAATTAAAATTTTAAAATCCTCAAAAAATTTTAAAAATGAAATAAATATTGTCTTGAGATTAAAGTTATAAAGGACCTTCATTTTTGGAAACATATTTCAGGCTCAGTGATTTGTAACTTTGATTCTTGGGGAATTTGATTCTCAATGATTTTCCCACTCCATACTACAGCGATTGGGTGGAAGTGGGAGTACAGGAGGGATGAAGGTATAGTCTCTAACCCATTTTGAAAATGCTTGCTATAGGGTTAATGAGAGCATTAGAGTCTCCCAAGTGCATTGTTCAGGAAACATCACAAAGACTCCTGTGATACAGAAGACCAGTGACTATATAATAAGACAAAGTAATTAATACAGCAAGCAAACAATAAGTTTAGTTCCAAATTAATATAAGTAAAAGAAAATACCACCTTAGTGCCTTGACTGCACTACCTCAGATGTAGCTTCCTTTATTTTCCCACAAAGGAAAAAAATTCCCTTGTGTGGGAATTCTGTGTCTTAATGATCTTCTCAGAGCATGTCTATAAAGTCACACGACTAGATGATTTATACCCATCTGTATTTGCCGTTTCTAATAACACATATGTTAGGTTTATAAATCTTTAATCCAGGATAAAGCTATGGCACACCAGCTATAATTTAGCTGGTTGCAAGAACTAAAAGTGTCTTGATGGAAGTGTCATCATATAGCTATGTTGTGTTTTGTTTTTTTTTCTTTGCCTACAGCCTTAATACAGATACTGGCAGCTGCTGTAGCTGACCGTGATGTGGTTTATTTCACCTTTGGGGACTCAGAATTGATGAGAGACATTTACAGTGTGCACACTTTCCTTACTGAAAGGAAACTAACTGTTGGTAAGTAGGAAATAGTCTTGACATTTGGTATCTAGATAGACTGTCCACCGTCCAGGACAAACACTTGCCAAATCTGGATGGATCAAGTGGATAAGAAAAAATGAAAGTGTGACTTTAAGAATAGTGGACAAAATCTTAGTTGAAGAACATCTGCAGAATCTTTTTTCTAAGTTTCATCTATCTTGAATGAGTATGTCAGCTTATTAAAGTAAGGCTAAGAAGCTGGAGTTTAATATCCATTTTTACATGTATGCATACAGAAAACTATAAGAGGGATGGTATAGGAGGGTAAGTTCAAGTCTAAGAGGCCTCATTCTGAGTCATATTTATTAGATATAACAGCCTGCTCATTTGCTATATTTCAGCTTGACCTGAAAGGCTTTGCCACCCTGGGAGCTGAATGTAGAAATAAAGTTGCCACAAACTCCCAAAATGATACTTGGCTGATGTACGGTGTATAGCCTGTTGTCATCATGAACTTATAAGTAGTTTCTTTAAGGTACTTAAAAAACTTTTTTAACTTTATATCAGGAAAGCCTTCCAGGGTTATGGCATTCATGCTCTATTTTCAAAAGTCAAAAGTGAGTACATGTTAGTTAGATTAAGATAAAACTGCAGTGTTCTTTAGTAGTTCTATCCATGTACATGCCTTAATGTGGGTATTGGTCTGGCCTTTTACTTCCAGGAGAAGTATATAAGCTGTTGCTCCGGTATTACAATGAAGAATGCAGAAACTGTTCCACCCCTGGACCAGACATCAAGCTTTATCCATTCATATATCATGCTGTTGAATCCTGTGCAGAGACCAGCAACCAGCCAGGTCAAAGGACTGGGGCCTGAGGAGCTGAGTAACCAGAACCTCCTTCCACCTCTCACCAGAAACATCCTGTTTGAATTGTCAAGTGTAATATACGAACTGACTTAATATAAATGCGTATATAATCCAATTTGTGGGCAAAGATGCAATCCCTTCCACACACATGCATTTGTCAGTTTGTACATGTAAGCCCTCTCCATCCCAATTTACATGGGCTTAGATAGATATATTTTGTTTGCATTTGTTTTTTCTATTTCAGTCTTCATTCTTTGGTTTTTCTTTCCTTTGCTCATCAGATTTCCGGTGAAAACCCATGAGAGGTTGTGCTCAGCCTGTCAGGTCTCTTTTGATATCTGTATATTATGCACATTGCCTCTGCAGTTAGCAGATGCCAAGGATGCCAGGGAAGAAGTTGAAAACCAAGAACTTTTTCACTGAATTTGCTATAGATTTCCCTGTAAGCCTTCACCCCCAACTCTTGTTATGATTGTGTTGTTGGAGTTTTTGAATTTTGAAAATTAAGAGTTGGGGATTTTTTTCGTACATGTTACATAATGCAAATCTCCTAGGTTAAAACAATTTTGTATTTCAGACAGAATTATTTCCAGGGATAGTTCTTTTGAGACATCACTTTGATCTGTAATGGTTTGTCAGTCATTTCTTCCCTGATCAATTTTTATTAATACTATTTTTGGAAACTGACCAAGATGGAAGGAAATGTACAATAAAAGAGTTTCCCCAAATGTGTTTTTAAAAAAAGATGCAAGAGAGTTGCAGGATTTATCATTTCTGGGGGATTTTTTTCTTTTCAAATTAGAATTACTGTTTGTTCTCTGGTGCTTGAGGTGCATATTTCATATAACCAAAGTTTAGGAACTGGGAACTCATGTTGATTTGTACATATTGAAGTTTCTCTGGTATTCAAAGGTTATATAGTTAATAAATTTTTTTTTAGTTAATAAATTTTCATTAACAAATCATCTGTCAGAAACTCCTATATCATCTATATTATATATATACATATATATATAAATATACTTTAAGTGTGTGTGCAAGCAGAAATATATAAGCCAAATAAAACTGGAGTTATGGAAAATGATTAGGTTTAGGCTTAATTGGAGGCTCTGTTTAAAATCATTTATTTAAAATTGTGTCCATTTAAAACTGGTGGCAAATATAAATAATAATGTCTTTTGGAGGTTAAAATGAAAGCCAGTTCTGCATTAATTGAGAGTAGAGTTTAATCGCAAAGCATTTATTCATATTTCTAAAATAATCCTCAAGTACAGTGTTGAAGCTCTAGTTTATGGTCAGCAGTCAGAAAATGCTATTGGAGGTCAAATCCTAGTAATAAGAAATTTTGGTAGATGGTCCAAACCCCTGCTGTCAGTAGTAGCAAGAAAAACTGAGACTATGGCCAATGTCTGCAACTCTTTTTATTTGTATAAAGATTGAGATTTTTATTTGCATAGAGATTGAGAGAATAATGGCAGCTACTTGCCATTAATAAAGTTAACGAAGTCTTTTACCATAGTAACTAAGATTTTTAATCATCTCCCTAAATCCAAGGTGCCTGGCTTTATTTCTGTGATACTAAAGCCTTCTCTTTCCATCTCAACCTTTTCTGAGCTTTGGTTACGCATTCATAGTTAGATTTCATTTCTTTTTCTGTCTTTATAGCTTTTCCTTTTACCCAACCCCAAAACTAAGTGAGTAGTTCTGTAAAACATTACATGAACATAGGATGGTTTATGTGATAGAAAAATCATTAAATCCAGGTAAGGAGAGCACCCAGCCTAATATTCTAGAACATAGGATCTAAGACTGAACTCTTAGTGCTGAACAGGCTTAGTGACTGGCCATCTACCTGAGTGCCTCTCTCTTTTGAGGCTTTTCCAAGGATAAAATCTGCCTGCTTTGTCCCAGTACATTCCAGGACTGGGACAATTTTAATCAGATGGAACATAAAGAGAACCGATCTCCATTTTTTGAGGCAGGAGGAATGCCCTCTGTAAAAAGAGGGGGAAAAAAATCAGACATCTATTTAACGTTTGTCTATTCTAAAACAATAGCATCTTTTTATTCTTTTCCATTAGGGGTTTATTGTTTCATTTCATGTTGTTTACCTTTCCCTTTCATCTGTTGAGGCATGAAATGATATTTTTAGTTTAGAATTCTTATGTGGTTAATATAGCTCACTTGCTTTATACTTTCTGTCTAGCTCACTCAAATGCCATAACAAACAGTTTAGGAAGCAATGTGGAGTAATGGACAGGATATGAGATTTTAAATCAGACAAACTGGGCTCAAATGCTGGTCACATCCCTTGCTAATCCTTTAAATAAACTGAATTTCTAAGCCTTATTTAACTCATCTAGAAAACGGACTATTAACAGTTATTAGGAAATACTATATATAAAGAAGTGCTCACGGGGTCTGGCACATAGTTGGTGCTCAATAAATGTCAACTATTATAGTTGGCCAGGAAACATTTATAGAACACCTACTGTTTATTAGGTACTTTGCATATTTTAGCCCATTTTTTCTATGGCCTAACAGATGCCCAGAGGTTAGGGAATACCATCTGAACCTCCAAAAGCTCATTGTGAAAGAGACTTATACTCTAACATCTCTGGAGGAGATCTGATAGAGCAAAGGCTGTGACACTGTTGTTCTCTACCAAGTACCTACTATAAGTTATTCTTCATAATGAATGACTAGATATCAGTGAGGTTCATTAAAATGTCTCTGAAAGAATTATTTCTTTCTTGCTGGTTGAAGTGACATTAAGAGCAAGCAGACCCCCCCCCCCCAAAAAAAAAGAGCAAGCAGACCCAAACTGATACTTAATGGGGAGATTGAAAAGGATCTAACGAGTCTTCATGATTGCTATGCCAGGTAACTAACCAATATTTATTGCTTTAGAAACCAAATATTGATTAAGCTGTCCCAATGCAAGAATATGATAGAACAAAGAAGTAGCTGGGTTGTATTCTTTAAAACTTAAACAGGAAGAGAAGCAATTGTGTATGGATTCTCACCTGATTTTTTTCTGTCTTTTCCAATCTGTGTGGCTAATGTTCATGGCTTTTTTCTGATGTAAGGAAAACCTGAATCCTAGTATGTCTGCTTTAAAAATAAGTAAAATTTTTAAGGTCTGTCCTTTTTTAATTTTGTGGATCAGCCTCAATCATTCGTTTTTGGAGGTAAGGGAAAGACCAGCTGTTGGCTGGCCCTTGAGCTCAAATATTTAATCCTGTTCTTGTTTGGGGGCTGGAAGGAGGCCCCAGTGTGATACTTATTGGGACAAACTGCTAAAATCCACTGGTGCACTGCTGTTCTCTGTACCTGTGACAGAGTGCCCTTTGTCTCTCCTCATCAGATTTTCACACAGATCTACTGAGCTTCCAGAGCAGGTTTCCCCTACAAGACTGGTTTTATTTTTCCTGACTATTTATTTTAAATGTAGGGTCACTATCTCCTGACGATTTTGAACTTAGGGTTAAGGAAAAGTCTATGCTAATGTTTACATGATTTTTGTAGTATGAGAATAAAGAAATTCCGATTCCTTGTCACGCCTTCTTTTTTCTCAAATAATTATGCCACTTTTGAGATGTTCATGTGCATAAACTATAGAGTATGTCCTAGGCATTTGCTGAAAGTCTATACATGTAGATTTGTTATTCCATGTTAGGAGTTAGGCATATAGAGATGCTGGTCACTGACATGAGGAACTTTCCAAAGATAAAGAGAATTTCTGGCTGTACTCATTTCAGCTGGGTTCCTAAGGTCATGTTTCCTGGTGTTCATTCCCTTTTCCTAATTTCCATCGGCAAGACATCTCAAATCAGGGACAGGAAAGATGTCTTGAAGTTCTGAGGACCACTGTCCTTCCATCCATTCACATTTTCATAGACACAGGTGTCTTTTGTGGGTATGCACTGAAACTTTCTGCTCAAGGATTCAAAGATGAATGATTTATCCTCTGTACTCAGATCTAAACAGACACACAGGGTAAGTGATCTAAAACTCCACAAATAGTATTTTCTTTCCACTACTCTGTTCCAGTTAAACCTAAAAAAAAAACAATTGAATTTATGTGCTGTCAATTTAGAAACTTGAATAGACACCTTCACCATGTCAGTTCACCATAATGTCGAACTCCCTTACACAATTTCCTCTGTTGGAGATTTGTGTAAACAAATGGGCTAACTTATAATGTAACATTAAGATAGGCTACCTTCATGCCCTTTCTTGACTTAATTTGGAGCTGGCATCCAGGGCCTGCCATCTTGATTCCTGCCATCTCAATTCCACTGGTTCCTAGATTCTGAGAAAGTAGCACTGGAAGCTAGAAGATAGATTTCCTAATGGAAATGTGCTTTTACTTTTAGTGAGTCCAGGTAAAGTAGGTAAAAAGTCAAGTTTTATTTTAGCTGGCATTATATTGTCAGTTATATATTCAAATACTATATATTTAATCTATATATTTAATCTATGAAATGAGATACTGCATATTTGATACTGCATTTTAATCTATGAAAAATGAAAAAAATTAATGTAAAAATGAATTTTACTTAATAACGAAATATTTCCAAATATGGTGACCTTGGGGATAAAATAATAAAAGGAGTCCTTGGTAGTAAAGGTGGATACCATCATGTCAGACATAATCTTGCATTTTCTGTTACATCTGCATTTGTAACAGTAACCTATAAACAAGGACATAAATTTTCTATATTTGGAAAGAAATACATTAACTGTAAAATTGGTTAAACCCTGATCTTGAACATGTGTGAAGCTTTTTCATCATGATCTTGACCTCATAGAGTATTCATTTATTCTACAAATACCATATTTTTTTTTATTGGAGTTCAGTTTGCCAACATATAGCATATCACCCAGTGCTCATCCTGTCAAGTGCCCCCCTCAGTGCCCGTCACCCAGTCACCCCAATCCCCCACCTACCTCCCCTTCCACTACCCCTTTATTCGTTTCCCAGAGTTAGGAGTCTCTCATTTTCTGTCACCCTCACTGATATTTTCACTCATTTTCTCTCTTTTCCCCTTTATTCCCTTTCACTATTTTTTATATTCCCCAAATGAATGAGACCATAGAATGTTTGCCCTTCTCCGATTGACTTATTTCACTCAGCATAATACCCTCCAGTTCCATCCACGTCGAAGAAAATGGTGTCTATTTGTCATTTCTAATGGCTGAGTAATATTCCATTGTATACATAGACCACATCTTCTTTATCCATTCATCTTTCTTTTTTTTTAATTTATTTTTTATTGGTGTTCAATTTACCAACATACAGAATAACCCCCAGTGCCCGTCACCCTTTCACTCCCACCCCCCACCCTCCTCCCCTTCTACCACCCCTAGTTCGTTTCCCAGAGTTAGGAGTCTTTATGTTCTGTCTCCCTTTCTGATATTTCCCACACATTTCTTCTCCCTTCCTTTATATTCCCTTTCACTATTATTTATATTCCCCTAATGAATGAGAACATATAATGTTTGTCCTTCTCCGATTGACTTACTTCACTCAGCTCCATTCATCTTTCGATGGACACCGAGGCTCCACCGAGCCACAGTTTGGCTATTGTGGACATTGCTGCTATAAACATTGGGATGCAGGTGTCCCGGTGTTTCATTGCATCTGTATCTTTGGGGTAAATCCCCAGCAGTATACCTGGGTAGCTCTATATTTAAGTCTTTGAGGAACCTCCACACAGTTTTCCAAAGTGGCTGTAGCAGTTCCCATTCCCACCAGCAGTGCAAGAGGGTTCCCCTTTCTCCACATCCTCTCTAACATTTGTTGTTTCCTGTCTTGTTCATTTTCACCATCCTCACTGGTGTGAGGTGGTATCTCATTGTGGTGTTAATGTGTATTTCCCTGATGGCTAGTGAGGCGGAGCATTTTCTCATGTGCTTGTTGGCCATGTCTATGTCTTCCTCTGTGAGATTTCTCTTCATGTCTTTTGCCCATTACATGATTGGATTGTTTGTTTCTTTGCTGCTGAGTTTAATAAGTTATTTATAGATCTTGAATACTAGCCCTTTTTCTGATATTTCATTTGCAAATGTCTTCTCCCGTTCTGTGGGTTGTCTTTTAGTTTTGTTGACTGTTTCTTTTGCTGTGCAGAAGCTTTTTATCTTGATGAAGTCCCAATAATTCATTTTTGCTTTTGTTTCCCTTGCCTTCATAGATGTATATGTATCTTGCAAGAAGTTGCTGTGGCCAAGTTCAAAAAGGGTGTTGCCTGTGTTCTCCTCTAGGATTTTGATGGATTCTTACCTCACATTTAGATCTTTCATCCATTTTGAGTTTATCTTTGTGTATGGTGTAAGAGAATGGTCTAGTTTCATTCTTCTGCATGTGGCTGTCCAATTTTCCCAGCACGATTTATTGAAGAGACTTTCTTTTTTCCAGTGGATAGTCTTTCCTCCTTTATCGAATATTAGTTGACCATAAAGTTCAGGGTCCACTTCTGGATTTTCTATTCTGTTCCACTGATCTATGTGTCTGTTTTTGTACCAGTACCACATTGTCTTGATGACCACAGCTTTGTAGTACAACCTGAAATCTGGCATTGTGATGCCCCCGGCTCTGGTTTTCTTTTTTAATATTCCCCTGGCTATTCGGGGTCTTTTCTGATTCCATACAAATCTTAGGATGATTTGTTCCAACTGTCTGAAGAAAGTCCATGGTATTTTGATAGGGATTTCATTAAATGTGTAAATTTCCCTGGGTAGCATTGACATTTTCACAATATCAATTCTTCAATCCATGAGCATGGAATATTTTCCATCTCTTTATGTCCTCCTCAATTTCTTCAGAAGTGTTCTGTGGTTTTCAGGGTATAGATCCTTTACCTCTTTAGTTAGGTTTATTCCTAGGTATCTTATGCTTTTGGGTGCAATTGTAAATGGGATTGACACCTTAACTTCTCTTTCTTCAGTCTCATTGTTAGTGTATAGAAATGACACTGATTTCTGGGCATTGATTTTGTATCCTGCCACACTGCCGAATAGCTGCATGAGTTCTAGCAATCTTGGGGTGCAATCCTTTGGGTTTTCTACGTGCAGTATCGTGTCATCTGCGAAGAGGGAGAATTTGACTTCTTCGTTGCCAATTTGAATGCCTTTTATTTCTTTTTGTTGCCTGATTGCTGAGGCTAAGGCTTCTAGTACTATGTTGAATAGCAGTGAGAGTGGACATCCCTGTCGTGTTCCTGATCTTAGGGGAAAGGCTCCCAGTGTTTCCCCATTGAGAATGATATTTGCTGTGGGCTTTTCGTAGATGGCTTTTAAGATGCTGAGGAATATTCTCTCTATCCCTACACTCTGAAGAGTTTTGATCAGGAATGGATGATGTATTTTGTCAAATGCTTTTTCTGCATCTATTGAGAGGATCACATGGTTCTTGTTTTTTCTTTTGTGGATATGATCTATCACGTTGATTCCTTTACAGAGTGTTGAACCTGCCTTGCATCCTGGGGATAAATCCCACTTGGTCATGGGGAATAATCTTGTTAATGTACTGTTGGATCCTATTGGCTAGTATCTTGTTGACAATTTTTGCATCTGTGTTTCTCAGGGATATTGGTCTATAATTCTCCTTTTTGGTGGGGTCTTTGTCTGGTTTTGGAATTAAGGTGATGCTGGCCTCATAGAACAAGTTTGGAAGTATTCCATCCCTTTCTATCTTTTGGAACAGCTTTAGTAGACTAGGTATTGTTTCTTCTATAAATGTTTGATAGAATTTCCCTGGGAAGCCATCTGGCCCTGGACTTTTGTGAGGTTTTTGATGAATGCTTCAATTTCCTCCCTGTTTATTGGCCTCTTCAGATTTCTATTTCTTCCCGTTCCGATTTTGTAGTTTGTGGTTTTCCAGAAATGCATCCATTTCTTCTAGATTGCCTAATGTATTGGCATATAGCTGCTCATAATAAGTTTTTAAAACCATTTGCAAATACCATATTTCATTAATTATAAAATGAAAATTTTTCCCCACATTGTAGCATCTGAAATTCAAGTACTTCTAAAAATTGATGTTATTCCATAATTTAATTGGTTTTTTAAAAGATTTTATTTATTTATTTTTGAAATAGCATGAGAGGGTGGTGAGGAGCACTGGGAGAAGAGAGAGAATCTCAAGCAGACTCTGCACTGAGCGTGGATCCCTATGTGGGGCTCGATTGCATGACCCTGAGATCATAACCTGAGCTGAAATCAAGAGTTTGATGCTCAACTGACTGAGCCACCCCCGTGCCCCTATGGTATTTTTTTAAAAATAATACATAAAATAAAGGTACTTTATAATCTGTGGCATCTTATATTTGAGGAAACGTGGTAGTTTCAGTGCCAACTCCATGCCAGTCACTTTTAAGCTTTGGAGCTATAATTATAACCAAGATAGACTGAGTCCTTTTTACCAAATTTTTACTGTATTGGAGAATACAGACAGCCTGTTATATGACTTAGACTGGGTAATCAGGAAATGATGTTCTTTTTAAGAAGTTCAGACGTACACAAAAATAAAATAGAGTAATGAATTACCATACATA